GTTCTCTGGCCTCCCCACCAGCTCCTGCTACTTCCTGGTGACAGTAATTCAGAGCAGCCAAAGCAACTCATCGATGCTGCTGCTCCTCAGAGTAACCTGGGATTTTTCACTTAATGTGCGGCTTTCTGGCCCGCGAGGGGATTAAGCATGAAATTTATCAGGGAAAGTCTTTCTCTCAGTGAACGCTGCTGCCTTGCTTCACCAACAAAACCTGCAGATCCCCCTTTGCAGCAGCTAGCAAAAACGAGTTAGCATCCACCAGGGTGAGACTCCCGCTGTGACTCCGGCCTTACGGCAGCCTGCTTTCTGCTCCGCTGTGCTCTCCAGCAGAGCTGAACTCCTGCAAATATTAGTTTCAAGTGCACTGGTACTTCGTGGAGCTATCTTTATCCAAAGCAGTGTGTTTGGGCATTTTTTTTCTTGCTAGTACAACACTTTCCTCTGAATTTCAGGTCCAAGGAGCAGAGATTGACTACCCCAGTTAATCTGTACCAGAGACCCTCAGCAATCATTAAATACCAAGTTTTGAAGGATTACCAGGAACTCTTGAGACTCAAAAAACACATACCTGTTTGTTGTCATTTCTGCAAATGACTTTGACTGGTGGCCCAAAGTTGCAAAGCCTGAATGGATAAATAAAAACAACTATTTTCCTCTGCCTTCTGTCCGTCTTCTCTAGGTGAGAGAAGTTCCTTGCCCACACTCAACAAGCGAAGCTGAGGGCAGAAGCCCGGCCCCCCCGGGCGCAGTGCAATTTTCAAGAGGGTTGGTGTGACGGGGACAGGACACCGCTGGCCGGGTCAGGAGACCCTTCCCGTTCCTGCTTCCCGGAGCGATCCACTGACCTGCCTGCTTCCGAAACCCCATGGCTTTGAGATCTGGTTCTTTCTGCCTTCAATCGCACTTTTCCTTGTCACACTTTTTCCTTTTGCTCTCTCTCACATACTAAAATCTTCCTTTTTTTCTCCCTCTGTCCTTTTTTTCAGCTGCCTCCGTCAGACGCAGCCTCCCAAGCGCAGCTGGATTGAGCTGTAATTTTCCCAAGACTGTAAACAAAACCTTCTCTCTTGCTCTGAGTCAGCTCAGTTGTTTAAATGAAACTACAGCAATTAGTAATTATGCAGAATGATTTCATTGTTCGATTAGTGAATGCTACAGCTCTGATGAAATATTTTGTGGCCTTTAGTTTACTGCCAGTGTAGGTTTATTTGCTGAATTAATATAGTTATAATGAAAATTAAAAGAAATTGTCAATGAACTAAATGAAATTAGGCTCTAACTCGAACCTGTAGTTCTACACTAAAATAGCGATGTGGTAATGATCCCTCCTCACTCAAAGGACCTGCTGGCCCCGAGGCTGCGTAGTGGGTGGGGATGCGTTTGCGCTTAGCTCTGTCTGCTGGCTTGGCCGCAGCGCATCGCCCTGTCCACCGGTTTCTCCGTTACTCCCATGGTGCCAGGATTGCCAGACTCCATCCCATCTCCTTCCTTTTCAACACATTTGTTGACACAATTCTGGAGGCAGAATTAAATTATTCCCCTGGCTCTATCTGCATAACCCTGCTAGAGACCTCCACCTCCTTGGTGGGCTGCTAGAGCCACCTCCAGCACCTCCAGCTGTTCCCGCTGCGCTTCTCCCCAACCCCAGCTGCTTGCTCCTGCTCCTCTGCCACTTGCTTAGCTCTGCTAGTGCCTCTCACCTTTTCTTTTTAGGGTACTTTTCAGCTGTTCCTTCTACAGATCTAGAGGAAGAGCAACAATATCTTAAGTCAATATTTACTGTTGGCTGTGGCACTTACCTTGAGTGCTGTTGAGACACCTCGGTATAAATTACCTGGAGAAACTCCATCTGGACTGAGTCAACCCCGGCTATCAAAGTTCTTCCTTCAAACACATGTCAAAAACGTGCATATTTCTGTTGCTCTGCAAACGACCATGGGCTCTGAGGCAGAGGCTGCTTGAATGCTTCCACAGCATTGAGTGAAACGGGTGCTACCATGAGACACGTAAGCAGCATGTGAAAAGTCAGTAGTAGTAAATGAGAGCAGCAATGTAGATCTGTCAAGAGCAGCTGGGAGATGTCCTGATGCCCTTTGAGGTCCCTTGAATCCAGCTAACTCATCTCAATGCTTTGGCTCACAAATCTGTGTTGGCTGTCTGGACGTTCACAGTAGAGCAATAGGTCTGTGAGGAAGGCCCCTTCTTGTATCTGGCTTGCTCCATCCATGCCTCTCGGCACGACATGATCACAGGTGGCAGCACGTTGTTCTGAGTCTGTGGCACCTTCTGGCACATGCAGAGCAAGGCCTTGAGCTCTGAGCGGAAGCTCTCATTCAGCCAGCAGTAGATGAAAGGATTGTAGCAGGTGCTGCTCATGGCAAACCAGTGCAGAGCAAAATAGAGAGAGTTCTTTGTCTTGATCCCCAGGCTGGAGATGAGCACCACATAGCAGTTGAGGGGGAACCAGCAGACAGCAAAGACCACCACCACCAGCACCAGCATCTTGACTCTCTTCTTCTTGTTCCTGTGGTGGGTGATGTACTGCTGCGTGGTGATGTCTCCAATGGCGTTGCGCAGCCACAGCTTCTTGGCCAGGCGTGTGTAGGTGACGGTGATGATGAGCAGGGGCAGGAGGTACAGGAGGAGAAAGGTGGACAAGTCCAGATATTTCCAGACCAGTTCTGCAGGCTCAGGAAAATCAGGGAGGCACAAACTCCGGACAGTGGCTTCCCTTGAAAACAAAGAAATATGCGTATAGCATGTGGCCAGTGCTGTGTAAATGGATGCTGCTAATTTGGCAAACCACAGAGGGGCCTCCATGCCACCCCCTCCCACATCCTCATAACTGTAACACTGACAGAAGAGGGCCAAACACGAATAATCTCACACCAAACAAAACTAAATTGAAACTCTGTTTCCCAGTAAGCTCTCTTCTCGTTACATTCTCCGTGTTTCTGTATCTGTATCTGTCTCAATGAGGGCAAGACTGGCTACTTTTGTACTGCTGTCTCTTTTCCCCCTAAATTATCGTGTTGTCGCGCTTTCCCCTGAAAAGCTGAATGCAGGAGGAAAGGGGCAACTCATGAGACCTTCTCCGATTCTCTCCATGCCAATATGCATTTCCTACCCAGCTTGAAACAGGACAATTACACCCAGGTTTGAACGTGCCCACCCAGAAATCCAGCCCAGGACGTATTACTCCTGCACACGGGCTGTGCAAACTGTTGTCTGCCCATGCGCAATTAACTGGATGTAACTGAGACACAGCAGGTTTCTAGCACGTGTGTGGGTCATCCCTGCAGCATGTTTGCAATAGCTCCAGTTTGACATTTGGGTCTGCCATCGAGGCACTACACAGACACACTCCTCTTTCTGTCCAGGAAACCCCGGATAGATACGGGACCGCCTAAGCCGGGAGCTGAAGGCTGCTGTACCCACTGGGAAATCGAGGCCATCATGCAAGATGAACGACGCAAGAGAAACAGACTGCTGGGTTTAGAGGTCAAGTTGTGGCAGTGGTGCAGGAGTGATTCCCACTTGCAGAGCTCTAGATCTCCCTGATAGCACTGCTTCCTGGGCTGCCCTTCCCATTTTCTTGAGCTTTTCAGCAGATCATTTTTTAAAACCTTATTGCTTCATCTCAAAACAGACGTGATTATTAGAATACTTGACAGTCTGCCTTGCATTAATAGGCAGACACCTAGCTAACAGAGTTGCTCTCAGCTCACGTACCTCAGTGCCATCTGGAAAGGACTAAGCGTTCCTTCCACATGCCACAGTAGGTGACTGGAAATGATAAAAACGTTAGGAGAAAGGGGCACTCACAGATTTATTTCCTGTAGATGCTTTCTCCTTTTCTTTCTTTTTTTTCCTCTTTTTCATTCTCTTATTCCACTTTGCCCTTCCTTCTTCAAATATTGTCTTCTATTCACTTGTATTCCTCACAGATTCCTCACAGTCCCCATCAAGCTGTATTATTTGCTGCAGTATTGATTAATATCTTTAATATCCTGTTGTCAACCTCTGGAGTTGGCTTTTGTGCCACAAATAGAAGATTGCTTGAAAATGGACTACTGTGAACAGGGACGGTGCATGTGTGTTAGGGGATGACAAAGGGCATGGGAACATCACTAAACCCCACCAGCCTGTGAAGGACTTTGAAGACTCTTGTTGAGCAAGGAATTGATGCAGAAAGGAAAATCAGCCTTTGCGAAACACACCCTTGACCTTTTTCTCCTCGTGATCATACTTGCCGCTGGCGCATGAAAGGCAAGGCCGTGCTTCGAGCACAGCTGTGCCTGTCTGCTAGGTAACCCGCTAAGAATAACTCATGAGCTGGCACGGGAGGGAGTGTGCTGTCCAAGGGCATGCCACAGCAGAGGACACGGAACGGGGTCAGACCTGGGGGGTCCGTCTCACTCAGGATCCTCTCTCCAACTGCGGCCAAATAGCAAATGTTTATGGAAAGAGCATCAGCAGCCAGGCACGACTGGAGCCATCATTCCTCGCTACCCCTCCAGGAATCGCCTTTTCAGGATCCTCTCGAGCTGAGGCTGCTTCCAGACCGCTGTGTCCTACTGCTGGTCTGCTCCTCAAAACGTGCTGAGTCCCATGTCAAGTCCTTTTATCCTCTGTCCCATTTTATCCTCTGGTGGCAGCAAGTTCATCGTTTCAGTGGTCTGGATCTCCCAGAGAGAGCACAACGAAAGCAAGGGGTGAGGGCATGGCTTGGTGGCATTTGCAGCTTAAAAATATGTTTTAACAGGTTTGGCAGTGGAATGAGCTGCAGTTGATCAAGGAGACCAGCTGCTCCCCTCACTGTCCTGTCTCCCCTGTTATGATCTAAAGGAAGGGCATAGACAAACCGAAGAGGCTCCCAATTATTTTAGGGAAGGGGCTGGTTGAGAGCAAAAGTAGACAGACTGCAGCATTTTGGTAAATTCCAGGATAACCGTGGTGTTGGCCACACTACTGTGCACAGTGAAATTTGGTGCTTTTGGACCTGTGTTCTCCTATCCTTAAAGCCTAGCTAACTACTGCTGGGATATCTCAGGAACTCTTAGCAGTACAAGGTTTATTGCCAGTCATATTACAACCGTGATTTTTATTCAATGAAAGACAGTGACGAGAATAACACACCCTAGAAGTCCTCATGTTGTTGAGCCCCCTCATGCCAATTCAAGGCTAGGTTTCCTCTGGACGTGCTGCAGGATGAGCAGAGGCAGGTGCAGCATAAGAGATAGCAGCATTTGTTCATTCATAAGCAATTTGTTCAGTAATACTCTGCAGGCAGCTGCAAAGCAATGCGAGTGCTGGAGTAACGCAGCACTTTGTTTACAAAGTCCAAGCAGTTGAAGATACTATATTCCCCCCGGAAGATACTGTCAGGCAAATAAAAGCACAACTAAGAAAGAGCAGTGAAACCCCAGATTACACTTCCATTTTGTGTCACCTCTTATATACAAACAGTGATGAAAAGCCTGTGCAGATAGTTAAACCATCTCCCTGCCATAGTCACAGGAGGGAAGTGGCTGTGCTGTGGAAGACAGACATTTGTCCTCTGTACTGAAGCTCAACACCCGTCACAGAAATCTCCCTCTTGCCGCCCATTGCTGCCTTTTTGCTCTGCTCTCTGGGACTCGGCTCTCAAGCTGAAGACGCTGTTCACGGCGGTACTACTCCTTCAGCCCCGAGTCCGGCATCCCTGTGAAACGTGGGCACCAGCAGCACCATGGAAAAACATTGGCCTGCGTAGCATTTTGCTGCACTATGGGCTATTTTCTAGTCAATAAGAGTCACAGTAATACTCCTAACTTGCTTTGGGCTGCGGCTTCCTCTCCAATTTGTGCATCCACCCCTGCCCTGGCCGAGAGACAATGTTTTGATGCTGCAGTGCTAAAGCTTATTATGTGGACCTGTATGAGCCTCTTCCGAGAAATCTCCCTCTCCGCAAGGCTTTTGTGGGCCTAAGGACCAGAATAGACTGGATACAGGGGAAGAACAAAAGGTTGCAGGGGGCAGAGCAAGACAAAACTTGTGGTTCTTTATTTCCCCATGGTAGAAAGGATGACTTCCTAGCAATGAATGCCATCACAGGACTAGCTGGTAGAGGAGAACATAAGCGTATTTTTCTATTTTTTTCTCTAGAACAGAATCTTCACTTTCTTCTGATACTTCAGAAATCTTCACGTGGATATGAAATTCCACTTCACCTCTTTTTAGTAGGTATTTTTGTTGTGTTCAGCCAAGCAAAGTGCTGCCTCCACTGCTGGACAAGGCAAAGCAGCATAAGATTTCGTTTCCCCATTGAAGCACTGTTCCTCTCATCACTGTTCCTTTCCCTGCAGAGAAAAAGGTGGACGTTTCTCTTTGGCTTTTCTTGTTTATTTAACAGTGAGTGAAGGACCCTCAAGCTCTGAGGAAAGCTGATTCTGCTTTTATAATTCCAGATAGATAAAATGCCAAGAAGCTAAAATAAGCTGACCCTCCTTGGTGAGTGAATCAGCTTATGAAGTCCTGGCAACCTGCGGCCCAGAGGCCGGCAGACTCATGAGGCAGCTGGTCCTCCTCCTCCCTGAGCTCTCTGTACAGCCTTGCTGGCGTAAGGACCAGAGGCTCACGTGGCAGCGTTCATTCTCTTTCTTTTCCAGACTGTGGCTCCTTGCCCGCGTACTGGGCACGTTGATTAGACGTGGTCTTCTTAGGACTCAAAATCTGAGTGAGGGAAGAGGAAAGGCCAGGGGGAAAACTGCCTTCTAGCGACAAAGCTGACTGAAGGCATGATGAGAGTCGGTAAGGCTCTGCCCCGCCGAGCGGCCGTGCTCCGCAGAGCTGCGCTGGCTGCCTGGCCACGTGCCTTCAGCCTGCCACCAGCACCGGTGACGCCGCTGAGATGAACCTGGGAGCAGACGCGAACAGACCGAGATCCCGGGCACTCGTTGCACTGAAGTGAGCCAAGCAGCCCTCCACCTCGGGCCAAGTCTTTGCTGTAGGAAATGAGGTCTTATCCATACAAGCAAGCATTCCCAACCATTTCCACCATCTTCTTGCCTTCCTTCCCCAAACCTGAGAACCCTCTGGCAGCTGTGGCCTCTCACAGGGCTGAGGACTCTGCACTCCCCTGGAAGGGGTCAGGCGTGCAGGGAAGTAACTCACCTGTAACGGTACTGGAACAGCTGCTGATAGATGGCGTGGGGTAGAGAGAAGCAGGTTGCCATCAGCCAGATAACAGAGATGCTCAGCGCTCCTTTCGTTAGCGACATCCTTTGCTTTAGTGGGTTCAGAATGACCTGCAAGAAAGACTTCCTGGTGGCTCTTATTTCATGGAAAGCAAAGCCATTCGTCAATACACAGAGCGGAGGTATTTTTTGACATGATCTAATGCTATTAAGAAAATCACAGCCATGATTAGGAAAATCATCCTGCTTATTAGAGTGACCCAGAGAAAAATGAAACCTTGAACTTTTCAGTCTGTTCAGAACTGCTCTCAAATAAACTTTTTCTCTACTTTTTCTATGAGAATCATTTTCTTTAAATCCTGGATTACATTAAGTAAGGAGAGATAACTCTGTGAGTCTCTTCACTTTTGGGCGTGTTTGCTTATTTCACATGAATCACAAAAAGAAGTGTTTCCTGTTCTAGCTAAACCTAAAAAGTTGAGCCTGCCTCCCCTGTCTGGAGTCATTAATTCACCTTTTATGAAATTTCATTAGTTGGACGACAAGATAAAGAGCTTGTAAAAATCCCGGCGTCTGGAGAACACTATCTGGGAGGTACAGTACATGAAGGGAGAACAGTTACTAGAAATAAGCACGTGGCCTAGTCTACATTTCTTTTTCTGTATTTGTAATAAATTGTGTTTATTGTAGTGAGGAACAGATACAGTTTGGCTGTAGCTCAGAAAATGCAAACAGATGCTGGGGTAAAGCCTTTTCCTAGCTCAGGAACGTCCTCCTAATATTTCCAACAGAAATCTCCCGCTCTGCCATTCCCCTTTATACTGTTCCAGCAGCAGTCCCAGAGCTCTGCTTTGGGACTTTAATCTCAAAATTGCTTTTTGTTCACTAATGTAGTGAACCGAGAATTGCTACCAACTCAGGCTGTCCTGCAGCTTTACGATGCAGCAAATGCCCAATGGGAAAAGAAGAACAAAAGAGTAAATGTGCTACTCTATCAGAATTGAAGCTCAGGATCCTACGATGGGTGTTTATAGTTTTTGGACAGGGAAGTGAAAAAGCTTTGAAAAATTCCCTGTACAGCCAGATTAACACCTTGCATTCAGCAGAGGCTCTGCCATCTTTCAAAGCCCACCATTTAAACCGAAGCCTCTTGAAACCATTTTCCCCACTGCACTTTGGGGGCTAGATTAGATCCGGTTTTGAAACGGTTAAAGGCATCCTCACTCCTTTCCACTGAAAGTTTGAGAATATCTTGTGAAAGCTGTGATGCTGTGCATTTTGTTTTTCTCCCTCCTCCCTGGTGTCCAGAGGCTCAGTAAGCCTTCCTCACCCTGACACCTGAGGGGTCTCTTTGAATTCAGCTCTAGAGCTTTTTCACTGGATACGAGTGTAATCCCCAGGATTTAACCACCCTGAACCCATGACTCAGCCAAAACTGACTGGAGTTTCAGAGGACCTTTCCAAGGAAACTGTGGACATGCGGTGTTTTACCTGGTGCCTGTCCAGGGCGATGGCTGTTAGGGTCAGTGTGGAGACATGGAGGGAGCAGTACTGCACGAAGCGGCTGATGTGACACATGGCCTTTCCGAAGATCCACGTGCTGTTCACAAACCGAACCTGAGGGGAGAATGAGAGGCCATCAGCAAGCCAATGTAGTAGAGCCGAAATAAATCCATATGGAAGCCATTCGGATTGCATCTGAGCTCACATGTGCTTTTTGGGTGGCTGTCTGGGTAACTCCATCTGAAACCCAAAGAAAGATTAGCTATGCTGTATTTTGAAATCCCTTTAGATAAGAGTTTATGAGGCCATGATGGCCTGTTCATATAGACATTATTTGTGAACAGGGGTAATAACTTTTTTATTAGACTAACAATTGTATTTGGAAAAAGCGGGCCAAATTTTGGTCACACAAACCCTTCTTCAGGTCTGGAGAGCTTTCAGTGAGGACTTTACTCAGCTGACAAACCTGAAGAAGAGCTTGTCTACTTTTTTCCATTTAAATAAGCATGACTAGCATTTGAGTTGTTTTGACCCATTGAGTTTTAAGCTTAACTCTGTAGCTCTCTCCTGAATGTGTATAAAAAGTACAGACACATCCAGACATGGATTTTCTGCATTCCACAAGAAGCTCTTATGATTTTCTGCAGTTCAGTGGCAATGCTTGGAAAGACTTCAGAGCTCCTTTAGGAAATACAGCGTCTAGTGGAGCAAAAGGAGCCCACAGATTGCTTAAGGGTTTTTACTTGCCTAGCAGAGTGGTCTATTAGACTTGGTTGTGGTGGGTTCATGGCTCAGTCCCAGTAGCGCATGCAGAGAGAGGGTGTGACTATCAGGCAGAGCATTTTTGGGCCAGGCTTCCTTCCTGGCTGACAGGACAGCACAGCGTGCCACTTACCAAGGTGAAGGGAGTGTTGAGCAGTGTGATCATGATGTCTGACACTGCGAGGTTGACAATGAAGAGGCTGGTGACTGAGTGCATCCTCTTGTTCTTGAGCACCACGTGGCACACCAGCATGTTCCCAAAGAGGGACATGATGATGATCACTGAGTATGCCACAATTAGGAGTGCTTTCACTGTTGGTTTCTGGGATTCTGGCTCATATTTAGCCAGCTCGGCAAATTTCTCCCACTCAATAATACGGCTGTCTGTCCAGTTGAAGGAGGTCCTGTTGGTTGCTTGGTAGATTGACATGAGTTTGGCCAAGGAAGAGTAACGGTGAAACTCCTCAAGGACACCTGTCATCTGTGTCTTGGATGACTGCAGCAGCGAGTGAGGCATGGTGAGTTAACCTGAGTGCTGACTCAGTTCAAGGAGCTGGGATCACAGCTCCAGCCAACATAACAAATGATCCATCAGCTTCAACTGCATTGGTTCTCTAGGAAGCTGAAGAAGATGCAGTTACCATTAGGAACAACACCTTAAGATGCAAAGCTGGAGGGAGCCTCTGTGGTGCAGGAGGCTCTCCAGGGGCACTGTCAGAGAGGTGTCAGGGAACAAACGCAGCGGGCATATTGGAAAGGGGCTTGTTTGGGACCACACCGTTTCATAACTCCTTCACATACTAAGAACAGCAACAGCCCCACAGGCAGGCTGGAAAGAAGAACTAGTCACTCCTTGAAGCAAATGTCTAGAAATCTCAGACAGGGTTTGAAATTGTTTTAATCCCACATCAGCTGCTGCTTCTTTGTTCTCAGCTGAGTCCATTTTTCCTTCAAGTTTCAGAGAAGGCTGCTCTGCTGGTGCTTTCAACCTCTACTTCAAAATACTTGGTTATTTTCAGTAGAAATATAAAGGTGGACTCTTTTGGGGAATCATTTTTGAGAGCAGTAGCTTTTGTCTTCATCTAACCCCAGCAATTATCCTAAGGTGATTCAGAACCTGGAAATCACATCAAAATTTGACTTTAGTCTATCTCTTATTTTCTTTTCCAAACAGTGACTGTGAATTCTACTTCCAGTGTTTCAGCTTCTGTGAGAAAATGATCTCTCTGGCAAAAGGCAAAAATTTAATAGCAGTAAAGAAGCATGTAAGTTGCAAAGGATCCACTTATATCATATACAAACAAAACGATACATAGACCTAGATGTACAAGAACAATTCCGTAGACATAAAAAACTCTACTTACTTACCCTTGTGCCTCCCTTTGCTAGTACCCACTTTTAGCTATTTCTGGTGATTTTTAGATCGTGTGGATCTTCTGTTGATGTTAGGTGGAACTTACTAACTCTGCACACCAATATTTATGGATATGCCACATACAGGAGGAGAAAGTTGGTTAGAAACTCTATCAAGTTCTCCACAACTGATGGAGATCAGAAAAACCGATTTGTTTTGTGCATGCAATTCCTGTCAAGCCCCTTGTCTGTGTGCACAAGTCAACGGACCTCATATGGAGTGAGGGATTAATAAGCAGAGCTTTCAGAGCTCTAAAAGGCTCCCTGAAACACCTTCCCACACGACAAGCTGGCAGGCTATTGAGGGCTGCAGACTAACTGCACAAGTAGGTGGTGGGCCTGAAGGAGACTTCCGGCAGATCTCAGACTCTAAGATAGGGCTCTGTCATGCCAGCGGACCTCAGCTGTAAACACCACCAAGCAAGAGTCAGATCAACTGCCTGTTTTTTTTTTTAAGGAAATGCAGTGTAGGGGGATTGAGTCTCTGTGTGTCTGTATGTCTGTCCATCCATGCATTCCCATAATGAAACCTTCTTTGGCCTGTTCACTTACACTGGTGAGTGTCATGGACACAGGAGACCTGTGAGAGGATGCCTCTCAAAGGCACGTGGATGTTAAAACACTTCTGTTGTGTGGGGTGAAAAGAAGAAGGAATTATCCAGGAAACATAAGAACAAATCTTGAAAACAGCCACTGGCTTTTCTTGGGCAAATTTATGAGTGAAAGAACCCTGGGAAGGACAGAAAGTTTGACAAATGCTCTCAGCTTCTGCTAGAGCAAGCCAACTGTAATGCAACAGGGAGAAAATCATTGCCTCCGCATTGGACTTCATTAGCCTCTATTTTGTCTGCTTGTTGTTTTTTCAATGCTGATGGTACTGGGAGCCTCTGCTTAGCCCTAGACCAGGTCCTGGTCTGGCTCTCTGACAAGACACACACTTGGGGAGCTGCTATGAAACTGAGAGCAGAGCTGAAACTGGGGAAGAGGATCATTCATCCTGTTTGCAAGAGATGATTGGCACCTGAGCTTCATTGCAGTGAAATCTCTCTGACCCTAGGAGCTTGGCAGAAGTCAAAAAGACTTAATGTTTATGTGAGTAATGGGAGACCCCGGAACAACAGAGCAGACTGGCTCTCCACTCCACTTAGGGCATTAAAATACCTTTGAGGTCATCACAGATTTATCACACTCCTGGGTAAGTGTGCAGGACTCCACATTTTTTCATTGTCTGCTAAGATATATAAGGAGAGCGTCATTCTTCATGGTGCACAGCAGCTCTCAGGGGGCACGGAGAGGGAGCTGCCACAGGTGTGATGCAGGATTTATGTAACAAAGAAATATGCTTTTAGTCAGCTCCAGCTGAAACACTTTGAATAATACAGCTGCGATACTCATGCTACACTGAAATGCTATCACTGAACTTAAGAGCTGATGCTGTACTATGGCAGATGAAGCCACTTATGGTCTTCCCTGCATCAATTTATTTTGAATTCTCATGTCAAAATTTGTCTTTGCTGCCATGAGAGATGGGCTTTTAATGGAGGCTGAGTTTCAAGTAACTGCTATAACTTACAAGTCCTATCTTCATATTAGGAAGAAACTTTGGACTGATTATTCAATTAAAAAAAGTCAAAACAGGTTTTCTGAAGTACCTATGTGACTGAGAAGCTCATTTCTCAGGGAACGTCTATAGGACCTGTACTCTTGAGTTGTTCACAGCGATCTGGGAGCCATGGCCTTTACTGTGGCTGATGAATGGGGACATCTCTTCTTCCTACTGCAGGAAGCCGTTTCCATCATGCCTGTGTCCCGCTCACTGCGCTACCAAATAAAGAAGCTAATTTAGCTAAGAATTAACTTAAAAAAAAAAAAAATTCAGCTGGATCAGGTTCCTGACTTGACTTGGTGGCTGAACCATTGTTTAACCTTTCTTTCCAGGGAAGGGTCCAGGAACAAACAGTGACTTGCCAACGGGAATCAAAGAGCTTAAGAAGGTGATGGAACTACAGCCTAATTTTCTAACATGGAATTTCTTCTTATATTTTTCTGGATTATGTAAAATGTTACTTCCAGTAATTGCTGAAGCACTTAGTGCTGGCCACTGACCTGGAGAGACCACAGGTGCAGCAGAGAGGGATGTCTCGTTTTCCTGAGAAAATCTGTGTGTAGATTGTCCTGACAACCTGAAACACTATGGTTTCATGCAATAAAAGAGCTTAGCTTTCAGATTTTATAGGTTAATATGATCTGAAGAACTGGAGAGAAAGATACCACCTCAGTTCAACTTTTCCTAGCTTGTCTACAGTCTGGTTCAAACAGGTTACTGAATACATCTCTGCTTTAGAAATCTCTTCCAGATGCAGAAACATAAACCTTTCATTCTAAAGACTTTAAAGACATCTTTCCAATAGCAGCCTGCTGGATGATTTTAGTTCTGAGTATAAATCAATGTTTCATTCACTGAAGAAAATAAATCATTTAGTAACATCACATACATTGCAAGTACTAGTCACATACCATTCATTTCCAGGCAAAATCCACATAAAGGGCAAGAAAACTGCCCCCACTAATTTCCTCTCCTGCTTGCATCCTTCTGTACCAAAATTCCCAAGAATTACGAAACCTTAGACAGCAACTCGTTCAGGTCTCGTCACAAAAGCACCCCCCTCCCCCCCTTCAAAAACGCCAGTCCGTCGCTGCCCGCCCCAGACCTTACCGTGGAGCCTGGTCGGCCCCGGGCTCCCGGCGCCGGCTCCCGCCGCCCC